CCCTGATGGAGCAGGAGAAAAGTGTGGAACAGAACTCAAATTCACATAAAAAGACCAAACTTAATGGCCTCACTGAGACTGGAGGAATCCCCAAAGCCATGGCCCCCGAACACTATGTTAACCCAGAACTAAAACCATTCCTAAAGACCATTCTTCAGACAAAGATTAGACTGGACTATAAAATATAAAATAATACTCGTGAAGAGTGTGCTTCTTGATTCAAGCAAATACACGAGACCAAAGGGGGGGCTCCTGTCCAAAGGCAGGATGAGAAGGCAGGAAGGGACAGAAGCTGGTTGGATGGACACAGGAAACCCGGGGTGGAAAGGGAGAGTGTGCTGTCACGTTGCAGGGACTGCAACTAGTGTCACATGACAATATGTGTATAAAATTTTGCATTAGAGATTAACTTGAGCTGTAAACTTTCACCTAAAGTACAACAAAAATAAAATAAATAAAGAAGGGGAAAAAAAAACCATATGGAGTGAAATGGCATGGAGCTAGGGCATGGGGAGAACAGAGGAAGGTCAGAGAGGAGCTCCCAGAGCCTTTGGTGGGCTCTTATGGACAGCTCAAGGGGACAAGTAAAGAGCCCCCATCGGGCTCCTTGTGTACGTATGATCATTTATCAGTAAGATTTTCTCTCTAGTAATAGACTGTACTTTATACTCTTTCTAACATTTCAGGTCTAGTTAGAGGCTTACAAAAATATCATTCAATTCAGCAAACATTTATTGAGTACTCCCAAAATGTGAGGTGCTATATGAGTTCAGGGAATACAAAAATGAACAATAGACAGCCCCAGCCTTCAAAGTTCCCCATCCAATTAGCTCCAGAGAGCACCTCTACTACAACATGCTCCTTCTCTGCACTGCCCTGTCCTCTGCTCCCCATCAACCCAAATTCTATGCCACCAGTCCCTGGAGGTACTTAGTCCACAATGAATGCCTCTCACTTCTGAAATTTGGCTGCACTTACATTTGAAATACACGCTATCTCCCTGGTTAGACCTGAGGGACAAAGACCGTGTTTAGAATCTCCCAGAAGAAGCCACATCAGTGGTTCGTATCAGACCAAGCCAAGCCTTCAGCTCAGGACAGTAAGTCTCACTGCTTGGCACAGTGCCTGACCCTCTGCAGCTGCTTTATAAACTTCATGGTAATAAAGTCTATCATCAACTCACTAATGTGTCAATACCTGTTGCCATAGCATCGACTTGGACTCAGGGGTTATTTGAAAACTGAGAGGGTAACAATGATTAAATAAAAGTCAAAAAGGGTTTGACTCATGCCTTGCCTGTTCCCTCCTCTTAGGTGAAGCAAAGTCATACCACCTTTTCTCATTCCCACCAGGAGGCTTCCAGTAAAGACTTCCTTGTTAACTTTCCCTTCAGTCCCCACAAACACCACCCGGTGCTCAAACCACCTCTCCTCTTTCTTTGAGCACATTTCCTGAAGACTCTGGAATAGGAGGAGTCAAGTCTAGCAACTGCTGATGTTCAGTAACTCTTAAAGTTTACTATGAGTATCTCTCTTCTTTTGCCTTGGGCTGTGTCCAAAGTCTGGAGCCAGTAGCCCCCACAACCTGGACAAACACATTTCTTCTCTGCTTTAGACTGGAGCAACTAACTAATCCACAGCCACCTTCCCAATGAACAAGAAGGCCTGGTTTTACCCACTGTTTCAGGGGCAGTGTCTTGGGCAACAGAGAATTGCCTCTTCTCCTTGGTCCTGCTCAGCTTCCCATCTCATGTGGCTACAGAATTGGAAGAAATTGTAAACAGGGTGAGGACAGTGCAACTTCACAGGCAACAACACTACTATTACCTATATTTTGCCAGAGACTAACGGGTTCAGGAGCATGCGAAGACAGAGAAGAAACAAACCATGTCAACCTGTCTTCTGCCAACCCTTAGTTAATGCTTTCCTGCCAGATATTAAGCTAGAGAGGTCACCGAAAGGTATAAGGAAATCCAAGAGAGAAAAAACACTTGGGGAAGAAATCCTAAAGTACAAGGGGGACAGGGGGAGGGACAAGAACAAGGCTTGCTGCCAAGTTATCAGTCACCTTCTTATGTTCTTAAGAATGCTTTGTTTATTTTGTTTGACAAGTTTTACTTCCCAGATTCCAGTAAAGCACACGGTTTAATCTGTTACCTAAAAACGAGGCCAGCGTCACCTTAGCTGTTCTCACCCTCTAATAAGTACGCTGGCCTGGGATTAAAGCACAGACTGCCAAGCCAAGTACCTCAGCCTGAATCATCCCAAAAAGTCTGGGAGCCTCTCTAACTGGGAACCTCCGCACACTCTTCAAGTCAACCTTCAAGCAACCTGCAGCAGCAGCGGCAGTCACAATGAAAGTTCTAATCTCCTCCCTCCTTCTGTTGTTGCCACTAACGCTGATGTCCGTGGTCTCTAGCAGCCCAAATTCAGGTAAATAAGATTAATTTTCTACGAAGGGGGGAGTGGGGGGAGGACAAAATGAAGTAAACAGAAAATAGCATGGTCAGACATACATTAAAATGCTGCTGCAGCCCTTTTTAGCTACAGGGATTTGGGGCAAGTTATTAGCCTTTCTGAGTGCCAGTTTCCTCATTTACAAAAAAAGGAGAAAACTGTTCTAACTCCCAAAGGGCGCTGTGAGAGTTAAATGAGATACTGTATGTGAAAGTGTTTGCAACAGTAGCTGGCCAAAAAAAAAAATACTGGCTCAACAAAGGTTTGCTCCCTTACCCTCTCCCCCAGCCCCTTTTCCAGAGAGTAATGAACTTCCCCAGGCCAATCTTGGTGGCGGCGGCGGGAGGGTGTTGAAAGTAACTGTACATTTGTGGAGGATAAGGAAGCCCTTGCTTATATCATTTGTAGTGCACCAGACATGCCACCAATAATGTTTAATGATAAGGTAATAAACTAGAAAAATCGGATCACCAGGTAGTATCCAGAATTTGAAGTTTTACCTATACCTAGCCCTGTTTTAACAGCTGTCCTTTGGGGAAGCAGACATTTGATGAGGGGTTCCATATCTGCTCCAGTTTTCACTACAGTCAACGTGGCCCCACCCTTAGTGGAAAAAACAAGCAGAAGAGAGCTCACGCCCTGTGTGTTTCACCTTGAGAGGACCTTCTACCCAAGTGCTACTTTAGGGCAAATAGCTTCATGACAAACTCAGCATCAGCTCCATCCTGAAGTCAGGAGAAATTCACCCTACTCACCTCAATTTCAAATGCTCCTTCCCGTGTAGAGGAAGCTCTCTGGAAGCTGCTGAGCCCCTAGCCCTAGGGCCTAGACCACCATTCTGGAGAAGGTTTTTCCATCACTGTGGCAGCCACCAAGGGGAGAATCCTCAGCCTGGATTCAAAGCTCTAGCCCCAACCTGCCTTTCCAGTCCCTCCCGCTCCACTCACTAACAAATACTGTATGCTCCACCCAAACTAAACTGTTTGCTGTTCCCTGAACGGGTCCTGTGCTTATCCACCAGCTCAGCTTTGCTCACACAACCAGTTCAAAAACCACCTCCCACCCACAGCCTTGATTCAGATTCAGCCCACAACCAGATGTGAGCACTCCCTCCTGTGAACATGCTGAGCCCTAATTTGACTCTTTCTCTCTCTCTTTGCCTTTTATTGAAGAGGTGGGTGTGCCTGCCTTACCTCCACCTCCTGCCCTTCTAGATTGCAACCTCTACGGTGGCATAATCTGGCATATTGTTTCCACGTCCTTCACACTATCCAGCACGGGGTTCAGTAAATATTTGCTGAATGAAAGAATAAATTCTCAAGCTTCTAAGTGCAAAACTTTGCCGTTTTAAGACTCTACACCAGGGTTTGATAACAGCTCTCTCGACATTTGGAGCTGAATAATCCTTTGTTGTGAGGGCTATTCTGTGCATTGTAATACGTTTAGTAGTATCCAAGGCCTCTATCCACTAGACGATAACAGAAGCCCACTCTCCAGTTATGATAGCCCAAAATGTCTCCAGATATAGCCGTATCTCCCCTGGGGAACAAAATCGCCCCTGGTTGAGAACCTCTGCTCTAGACCAATAGTTCTCAAACCTGACTACACATTCAGATTCATTTAGGGCTCTTTTTTAAAAAGAGGGTGAGGTGGGGCCTGGGCATTAGTATTTTTTACAAGGTCCCCAGGTAATTCTAATATGTAGGCAGAGTTGAAACCGCTGCTTTAAACTAGAAGACCTGAAAGGGCATACTCAAAGTCTGGCTTGGTGCCTACTATGAACACTTAATAAGTATGTGTTGAGACCATTGACCACTTGTAGGTTGATACGCTCCATTAAAAAATATCTGCAAACCCTAATATTCTGAATCTATAACAAAGACTAATTCAAAAACAATCTTTAAAACTGCATCTTTCAAGGGGTTCACTGTTGTTTGTAAGACTCAAAGCTTAAGTTCAATTAGTTGTAGAAAAGCAGTATCATCCTCCTCCAGGGGCAAAAAATGGTATATTGATTCTAAAGGGTGCTTTCATGATCATCTCTGTGATTAAAGATCAAATCACATCCAGTATAACTAGATGGTGCCCGGCTACCACCACCAACCGCTCTGACAGGGATCACAATAGGAGATCCCAGACAGAGTGGGAGAAAAATGTGGAACAAAATTCAAATTCACGAAAAAAGACTAGACTTACCAGTCTGACAGAGACTGGAGGAAACCCTGAGACTATGGCTCCCAGACACCCTGCTAACTCAGAACTGAAGCCACTCCCAAAGTCCACCTTTCAGCTAAAGATTAGACAGGCCTATAAAACAAACAGTAACACACATGAGAAACGTGCTTCTTAGGTCAGTCAGGTACAGGAGACCAAATGGACAGCACCTGCCCAAAAGCAAAGATGAGAAAGCAGGAAGGGACAGGAAAACTGAACCAATGGACATGGAGAGCCCAGGGTGGAAAAGGAAAGGGAGAGAGTGCTGACACATTGTGGGGATTGCAACCAATGTCACAAAACAATTTGTGTATAAATTTTTTAATGAAAAACTAATTTGTGCTGTAAACGTTCACCTAAAACACAAACTAAAAAAAAAAAAAAAAAAGATCAAATCCCAGTTGTAGAAATTTGAAGACAGGATTTCATAAATTATTTTTGTGGTACTAGAATTTTTTTCACAGAATATTATTTGAGTAGTTGGCTTACTGGCTTAAAACTGTTTTTACGAGAGATTTCCCTTACAACGGTATATCTAGTCAGTAATGGAATTTTACATACATAAAAGTAATAGTAACAAAATCAGTAATAAATAATTATAATATTAAATCCATTTCTTTGGTTCCTCACTAAACTTTCCAAAGAGGTTTTACCCCCATTTTCTCATTTCATTCTTCGGCAGGTAAAATGGGTAGTAAGACCATCTCATAAACAAGAACTCTGAAGCAGAGATACTAAGTCCTGTGGCCACAGACGTACAGTAAGTTAGGAGCAGACTAGGACTAAACACCACATCTTCTCATTCACTGCCCCATACACTTCCACATTCTGCTGCTTCAGTGGTTGGGGTGTCACAGAAAAAAGGCACCTTGAAGTCAGGGGACCGAGATCCAAATCCTGGCTCAGCCACTCACTTTGCAACCCTGGACAAGTCACTTAACTATATTGAGCCTCAGTTTTATCATCTTAAAATGAATAAAATACCACTTAGCACACAGAATAGTCATAAAGATTAAATGAGCTATAATGGACACGCAGTAAGTGTTCAGTGAATAGACTGAGTGGAACTCCTAAAGTAGTGGTGGCGATATCACAAACCACATAAGACTGGTAGTGGCTGAGCTCAGAGTTGTTTCCCAGCCAAACAGTTTTCCGAAAATCAGCCTAAACCTGAGCTAATTAGCGGTTAGAGAAAATGACCTCCCAAAAAAATCTCAAAATAAAATCTGATCTTACTTTATTTTTTAAAATAACTACATACATTCTCAATATGCTTTTCATAGAGGAAAGAAGGAATAGGTAAGAAGACATGAGAATGCTAGGAAATACATTATTTATAATAATAGATTATTTAGTGCTTATATTACTTATTACTTAATAACCTAACGTGTTAAGCACACCTATGTGGTGGGCATTGCTCTAAACATAACCATAATACAATTGATTAAAACCAGGAAATTAGCATTGATACAATATTATTAACTAATCTATCCATATTCAAGTATTCAAATTTTGCTAATCATCCCCGTAATGTCCTTTTTCTGGTCCAGAATTCAATCCAGGATCCCACACTGAATAAAGTCATGGCGTCTCCTTGTTCTCCTCCAATCTAGGACAGTTTCTCAGTCTTCCCTTGTCTTTCATGATCTTGACACTTTGGAAAATTACTGGTCAGTTATTTTGTCAAGTGTCCCTCAGTTTGGGTTTGTCTGAAGTTTCCTCGTGATTAAACTCAGGTTATGCATTTTTGGCAGAAGCACCACAGAAGTGATGTTGTGCCTTCTCAGTGCATCATATCAGAAGAGTCCATGACCTCGCTATGTCTCATCACTGGTGATATTAACTTTAAGCACTTGATTAAGGTGGTGTCTGCCAGGTTTCTCAAAGGTCCCTGGGTGGCGCAAACAGTTTGCACTTGACTACTAAAATAAAGGTTGGCAGTTCGAACCCACCTAGCAGCACCACAAAAGAAAGGCCTGGCCATCTGCTTCTGTAAAGATTACAGCCAAGGAAATCCTAAGGAGCAGTTCTACTCTGTAACACATGGGGCCACCGTGACTCGGAATTGACTCGACAGCAACTGCTTTGTCTTGTTTGTTTTGCCAGGTTTCTCAAAATCTATTTTCCCTGTTGTAATAAGTATGTGGTTGAGAGATATTTTGAGACTAAGCAAATAGCCTGTTTCTTGTCATACTTTTGCCCATTAATTCTAGCATCCATTGATGAGTCTTGCCTATATTTATTACTGTGGTATTAGCCAAATGGTGGTTTTCTATTTCCATCATTCCTTCTATATTTATTAATTGGAATTCTGCTATAAGAGAGAGCTGTTCCTTTTCCCCCATTAACTTATTTATTCAATTATTTCTTTGTATCAGTGTGGACTCGTGGATATTTATGGGTTATAATCCATTACTATCATTATTTATTATGTTGCTCACATTGTCCCAGATTTGGCCATGGAGAGTTCCTTCAAGTTGGCTGGTTTCTGTCCTTTTGACATATCCCCATCATGTTTTGAGCACTTCCTTATTTTCTGACACCACAGATGTTCCAGGCTCATCTTAGACTTTCCCTGCCTCAGCCCTGAAATCGGCCATTTCTCCAAGGAAACCTGGTTCCTTTTATTGGAGAATGGTATTTATGAGCTATGGACACTAGGTATGCTCACAGTTACCGGGTGTCATTGCTTCCAGACCCTCTAGCGGGCAGAACTAAAAACATAAGTATGTATTTAAAATAAAAAACAGTTACCAGTTGATTGTGATTCATAGTGGCCCCATGCATGTCAGAGTAGAACTGTGCTTCACAGGGTTTTCAATGGCTGATTTTTTGGAAGGAGATCACCAGGCCTTTCTTCCAAGGTGCCTCTGGGTGGACTCAAACTTCCAACCTTCTTGTTAGCAGTCAAGCATGTTAACCATTTGCCTACCCAGGGATTCCCATATGTATGTATACACACACTATTGGCCCCATTTTACAAATTCAGTAAATGAGGCGCAGAAAATCTAAGCAGCATGCTCAAAATCACAAAGCTAGTATGTAGTGGAACTGGGAAATCAAAATAATGATAGCTATACCACAAGTCCTAACAAGTGGAAGTAACTTCTTTACACAGACAAGTCAGCAAAAACCAATAAGCCTAACATTCCAGCATAGACACTCTCTTTGGAAAATAACTAGAAGTCCATAACAACAACAATAATAATAACCACCATGTACTTAACACCCACCTGGGCAAAGGGCATCCACATTAGCTTACTTATTCCTAACAAGTCTGCAGGGTGGATGTTACTATCCTCCCTTTACACATCAAGGAACCAAGGTTCAAAGAAGCTAAGGGACTTGTCCAAGACTGCATAGGTAAGCGACGGAGCCAGTAGTTGAACCCAGGTCTGTCTGGATATAAAGTCCAAACATATTCCACTGTACTGGTATTTTCCAAAAATGATTTTAGTTAAAACATAAATTAGATTTTTTTACTTTAATAGTTATATGTGTATTTTAATTCATGTTAGAAAAAATATAAGCACACATCAATCCCATAATTTCACAGGTAATATTGCATAAGATGAGATTAAGTTTTGTTAAATAAACTAAAGAAAAAGCATGACATAAATAATAGTACAGGTGGCACATACCAAAAAAAAAACAAACCCATTGCCGTCGAGTTGGAGCAGCTGGTGTGATTCAAACTGCCGACCTTCTGGTTAGCAGACGAACACTTAACCATTGAGCCACCAGGGCTCCCACTTGGTACACGACTACAGCAAAAAAATCATAAAGATAGTCCATGAATGTCTGTGGTTTGGGGGACATAACGTGATAGCACCATGCAGCCTCGTCTTCAGTTACACCCATGAAATTAGGAATAACATGCAGTGCTGCCAACAGAACAACAGACTAAGAACCTTGAACCTGGGTGTTAGCTCCAGATGTGTGACCATTACCTTTGTGAACTTGCTCTTCTGAGCCTCAGTTTCCTCATCTGGAAGAAAAACGGAGATGGTGATTTAGTTAACTGGCCTTCTGAAAGCAATATGCTAATGACATCAAGTAATAGAAAACTATTCTTAACTTTTGACCTAGACATTCCACTTTGGGCAATCTCTCCCAAGAAAATAATCCAAATTTGGAAAACAGTTACAAGCACAAAGAAATTTATCAATATCCAAAACTAAAATAATCTAAATATTCAGCAATGGGAGAAAGTTAAATATGTGGAGCACATATACTTGTTGGGAGTATTGTGCAGTTATTAAAAATGTCTGTTATGAATTATGAATTGGGAAAAAAGCTAGAAATTTGTTCACATACTATGGTCATCATTATATAAAGAAAACCATATGCAGGAAACAAATATACCAAAATACCCACTAGTTGGTAAGAGTAAAGATGTCTTTATTAGTACTTTCCAGATTTCCTCTAATATGGTTATATATTGGAGCCCTGGTGGCACAGTGGTTAAGAGCTTGTCTATTAACCAGAAGGTCGGCAGTCAAATCCACCAGCTGCTCCTTGGAAACAGGATGGGGCAGTTCTACTCTGTCCTATAGGGTTACTATGAGTCAGAATCAACTCAATGAGCAACAGGTTTTTTTTTAATAGTTATATATTACATTCCCTGGGTGGTGCAATTGGTTAAAGCACCGGGCTGCTAAACGAAAGGTTAGAAGTTCGTTTGTGTCCACCCAGAGGCACCTCAGAAGAAAGGTCTGGTGATGTACTTCCAAAAAATCAGCCATTGAAAACACTATGGAGCACAGTTCTCCTCTAACACACTTGGGGTCACCATGAGTCAGAATCCACTCAACAGCAACTAGTAGTAACATTTAGAATGAAAAAGCTTCTCAGTGAAAGGATTCAGCTAAATATCTCCAAAGTTCCTTCTGGCTCTTGTGGGTTTTCTCTGGAACTAGGAGTAGAGGCCAAGAGAAAGTAAAATGTTAGAAGTTTAGATGGCAGGGGCTATGCCTGTTTAAATTACTTAAACAGCACATGAGAACACTTGAAAAATAGCATTTGGGGAAGTGATGCAACACTCTCCATGTGTGTGGCAGAAAGGGCACAAGCGTGGGAAAGAGGAGACTTAGATTGAACCAGATGATTTCTAAGGGCCCTCTCCGGACAACTTGTCCATCCATTAAGTGAACAAACATTTACCAAGTGCCTTCTATGTGCCAGGAACCATTGGCTCTGGGTCTAGTGAGGGAGGCAGATTCTAAACAACAAAGTATTAACTATAACTTTTCAATAATAGAGCTACATTCAAATATGATAGGAACCATGTGAGGGCATAATTAATTCTGACAGGGAATATCAGAAGCTACTAACAGAGGAAGTATCATCTGAGCCCAGTTCCAGCTCCAGAATCTTAAGTCTATAAACCATCATCCTTGATTGGCATGAAAATATTTTAGGTATCACAAAATGGGGATAAGACAGCATCAGGTGGTAAGACAGACTTGGATAAAGCCAAAAGAAGAATGTGCTTTGTTTCATCCTCTTAGTGGGGCTCTAGTGGCACAGTGCTTAAGTGTTCATCTGCTAACCAAAAGGCTGTCAGTTTCAATCCACCAGCCGCTCCTTGGAAACCCTATGGGGCAGTTCTACTCTGTCCTATAAGGTCTCTATAAGTCGGAATTGACTCGACGGCAACGGGTTACGGTTAGTGAACTGTGGATGCAAACACTGCAACTTGGAGATCTGATGAAAATCCAGGTTTACAGAATAATCTGCCCCTTGTTCCCATTCCTTAAACCATAAAATTTTAACGTTGAGAAGTGGGGGAGGTAAGGTTTGATTAATCCCCACCTTTTGTTCTCTCTTCCATTCAAAGGTTATTCTTTCTCCACTACTCTCACCTAAGCTTTTCTCTAGGCAAGATTTTAACCTCAATTCTTTACCCATTTAAAATACTCCTCTCTTGAGTATCCTAGATCCCTGAAGCAAAAAATGAGGAGAAACGGAACTGTGCTGACTTAGGGAGCCCAATGCTGGGAGGACCGTTTATGTTGCCCCCTTACCTTTCCAGTACATGGAAGTGACCTGTTTCCTCCCAACAGGTGTCGCCAGAGGCCACAAGGACCAGCGCCAGGCCTCCAGGAGGTGGCTCCAGGAAGGCAGCCAAGAATGTGAGTGCAAAGGTCAGTGTCTTAGCATGAGCAACAGCAACTGCACCACCACTGCTCCAGCTCTCTCCCTTGAGCCCCTCTGAGACCAGTGCAGACGTTGTCTGAGCTGACCCCACCCAGTCCCGTCTCCACCAGCCACCCCATGCAACCAACTCTTGTTTTCTTCCTTAGTCTCAGGCAAGAGCTGGGGTTCAGCCAAGGTCCAAGGAGAGCTGGCTGAATCTCTGACTGCCCCCTTCCCCTTTCCCTTGTCTCCAAGAATCCAGGGCTGCCTTCCAGAAGGTTTTTACTTTTTCCTGGTTCTCCAAAAGCTTCCTGGAATTTATTCTCAACCTTATTTTACTCACAGGAAAGACTCAAATCAGAGTGACAAAATGGCTTGCCTAAGGTTAAATAGCCACTAAAAGTCAGACACGTTATTCTTTGGTCTCCACAAAGATATCCTGATGCCCTCCTCCAAACCTGCCACCAAATCTTTGCCTGTACAGGTCAGGGCAAAACAACTCAGAAATCCTGGTGCTCAGGTAACTGGATTTCTCCACTGTTCTGTGTTGACCCTTTTTCCCACCCTACTGCAGTATGAAAGAAGAACTAGAAGGCAAAGAAGTCAGTAAGTAAAGCCATGCCCTGCACCCTACTGTCAAACATATTAACTCTCTCCTCTAAGTAGTAACCTTGTGATTTCAGATTGGCTCCTGAGAGTCCCTAAAAGAAAATCTATGGCACTGACAGTGCCTGGGTCGCCAAGGAAACAGTGTCCCTGTGATCATTTCAAGGGCAATGTGAAGAAAACCAGTAAGTTTCAAGAAAATGACCTTCCTTAAACCAGAGTCACTCTGTGGAATCGCTAGGGATGAGGCAACAGTTGCGGATAGAGTGAAATGAAGACCAAGATAAACACTTATGTCAGCCCTTTCTACGTAATGTTATCTTGTGTGAAACTAGGAAGAGCAAGAAGAGCAGGATATTATTTCCTGATATCAGAAAGGTTTAACCAAATTCCTAGATTTTAGAAGCCCGCTGCTTGTCAAAGTGGAGGGAGGCAGGGCTGTTGGGGGCCTGGTCATTGATTTGTGAGGATGACATTAGTGTCTTCAAACAGAATTTGAGTCTTCCCTAGTCTTCCCTAGCAGTTTTTAACTACTATATTTTTTTAATTGGCAATTTACAAACTGATATTATCTGATGTTACCAAGTATGGGATATATCAAGCTCCTCATACACTGTTAATGGAAGTGAAATAAAATTTGGCAGTACCTATCAAAATTTTAAATGTGTGTCCCCTTTGACCAAGTAATCTCCCTTCAGGAAATTCCCCCTATAGAATACTAGTACAGATACTCAAAGATATATGTACAAGAATATTCATTATACCAGTGAATTGTGTCCTCCAAAATTTCGTGTCAACTTAGCTAAGTCATGATTCCCAGTATTGTGTGTCTGTTCTCCATTTTGTGATCTGATATAATTATGTGTTGTAAATCCTAGCCTCTATGCCTGTGGTTATGGTCCCATTTGGGAGTGAGTTGTTTGTTATGTTAACAAGGCATGATTAGGTTATGTTAATGAGGATTAGGATGGGATGCACCACAATTGCTTGAGTCAAACCTTTTATCTTATAAGAGATAAAAGGAGAGAGAAGCAAGCAGTGAAAAGGGACCTCAGTACCACAAAGAAAGAAGAGCTGGGAGCAGAACTTGTCCTTTAAACCCAGGGTGCCTGTGCTGAGAACCTCCTAGACTAGGGGAAGATGGACGCTAAGACACATGGAGATCTCCAAGGGATGCCAGGCCCACAGATGTTGAAAGGAGACCAGGACCTTCCTCCAGAGCTTACAGAGAAAGTCTTTCCCTAGAGCTGACCCTGAATTAGGACTTCTAGCCTCCCAAACTGTGAGAGAATAAATTTCTGTTTGTTAAAGCCATTCACTTGTGGTATTTCTGTTATAACAGTGCTAGATAACTAAGACAAGCAGTATTCGTATTAACAAATAAGTAGAAATAATAAATGTCCATCAAAAGAAAATTGGGCAAATCCGCAGTTATTAAAAAAAAAATGTGTGTATTGGAAAGATATCCACAATATGTTAAGTAAAAAAAAGATGCAGAGACCCCTGTTTCACACTCTTCACAAAAATAAACTTCAGATGGATTAAATCTCAATTTGAAAAACAAATTCATAAGGGAATAGAGGAGAATATTGGGGTAGGGACCTTGGAGTGGAGAAGAATTTCTTAAACAAAATATAAAAAGTAAAAATCATAAAGGAAAAGATTAATGCATCTGACTTCACTGAAATTAAAACATTTTGGTCATCCAAAAAATAAAAAGATACAGAATAAGAGATGACATCTGTAACACGTATAACTGACAAAGGATTGGTATTCAGAATACTATAAATGGGCAAAAGACTTGAATAAGCATTTCACAGATGAGGAAATCCAAATAGCTAATAAATATACGAAATGGCACTCAACTCTGTTAGTAATCAGGAAAATGCAAATTAAAACCAAAAAGAGATATTACTATAAATCATCAGATTGGCAAAAAATTTTAAATTCTGACAATACCAAGTTTTGATAAGAAATAGAGCATAAAAACATTCATGCTCATGGGTGTTGTCTTAGTTATCTAGTGCTGTCATAACAAATACCGAAAGTGAATGGCTTTACGAACAGAAATTTATTTTTTCACAGTTGTTGTTGTTGTTGTTAGGTGATGTCCAGTCGGTTCTGAATTATAGTGACCCTATGTACTACAGAACGAAACACTGCCTGGTCCTGTGCCATCCTCACAATCTTTGTTATGCTTGAGCCCACTGCTGCAGCCACAGTGTCAATCCATCTCGTTGAGGGTCTTCCTCTTTTTCTCTGACCCTCTACTTTTACCAAGCATGATGTCCTTCCCTAGGCACTGATCCTTCCTGACAACGTGTCCAAAGCATGTAAGACGCAGTCTTGCCATCCTTGCTTCTAAGGAGCATTCTGGTTGTACTTCTTCCAAGACAGATTTGTTGCTTCTTTTGGCAGTCCATGGTATATTCAATATTCCTTGCCAACACCACAATTCAAAGGCGTCAATCCTTCTTTGGTCTTCCTTACTCATCGTCCAGCTTTTGCATGCATATGACGCGATCGAAAATACCATGGCTTGGGTCAGGCACACCTTAGTCTTCAAGGTGATATCTTTGCTTTTCAACACTTTAAAGAGGTCTTTTGCAGCAGATTTGCCCAGTGCAATGCATCTTTTGATTTCTTGACTGCTGCTTCCATGGCTGTTGATCGTGGATCCAAGTAAAATGAAATCCTTGCCGACTTCAATCTTTTCTCCATTAATCATGATATTACTTATTAGTCCAGTTGTGAGGATTTTTGTTTTCTTTATGTTGAGGTGTAATCCATACTGAAGGCTGTAGTCTTTGATCTTCATCAGTAACTGCTTCAAGTCCTCTTCACTTTCAGCAAGCAAGGTTGTGTCATCTGCATTACACAGGTTGTTAATGAGTCTGTCTCCAATCCTGATGCCACGTTCTTCTTCATATAGTCCAGCTTCTCAGATTATTTGCTCAGCATACAGACTGAATAGTATGGTGAAAGGATACAACCCTGACGCACAGTAGGCTAGAAGTCTGAATTCTAAGCACCGGCTCTAGGGAAAGGTTCTCTCTCTATCCCTGGGAGAAGGTCTTTTGTCTCTTTTCAGCTTCTATTCCTAGGTTCCTGGGTGATCATGTGGCATGTATCATCCCTTCCGTTTGTGCTTGCTTGTTTGCTTGCTAATCTGTTCTTTTATATCTCGAAAGAGGTTGACTTAAAACACAACCTACACTAATACTGCTTGATTAACATAACAAAGAAAATCCATTCCTGTATGGGATTATAACCACTGGATTTACAACACATATTTTTGGGGGCACAATTCAATCCATAACAGGAGTATAAATTGTTAAATCACTTTGAAAAACTGCTGGTAGTTATCTGCTAAAATTTAAGCTATGCATACTCTGTGACCATGCAATTGCACTTCTATATAAACACTCAAAAGAAAGTATATGCTTATGTACACTAGGAGGCATATACAAGAGTTTTATAGCAATACTGCTCATAACTGCCCAAAACTTAAAACTTCCCAAATGTCTATCAACAGTAGAATGAATAAAATAAATTGTGGTATATTAGAATATCAGTGAGAATGAGTTAACTTGTAACAACACAAATGAGTCTTACAACCACAGCACTGAGTAAAAAAAAAAAAACAAGACAATATCTACAGTATGATTTCACACACTTAAAGTTCAAAAACGGGCTAAATTGTTTAGGAATGTCTACATAGGTGCTAAAAACAATAAAGAAAAGAAAGTA